AATATTTGAAGATGTGTCTCGTAGAAGAGAATTTAGGCACATTCTGCTGGGCCCTAGCAGGCAGAACAGGAAGGAATGACTGCAATGTTCAGAGGCACATTTTCACTTGAAGCAAGGAAAAATTTCCTAATAAATGGAACACTTCACAACTGGCAGCCTACCTCGAACAATTCTTCACTGCAGGTCTTCAGGTGGGTTTTCCTTTGATTGGGTGTGCTATAGAGAATATTACTTTTCAGACATAGATTAGATTTGATGACCTCTGAGAGCTCTCTGACTCTAAGATTCTCTGATTCTCTCCCTGTCAAGAATTCTTCCTGGAAAGGCAGTTAGGTAGCCCAGTGGTCTCCTGGAGGACTCCAGCTTAGTCCCTATGCTCAGAGCAGAGTTTAATGGCATGTTTTGTATATGGTGACTGTAGAGCATCCAGTTGTCTCCAAGGGAACATAATCTCTTAAGAGCTCCTGTGCTCCAAGGTTTGTGTAAGGATCCTGCTTAACTTAGGACTTCAGCTATTGACTTCCAAGTATTTCACTACTAGGACTCATTGGCATAGGACCAACCTGGAGACAGCGGTCCCTGGAGTCACTGCCTCATTCATTTGCTTTCCATCATTCGTCCTGAGACTGAGCAGGAAGGAAGGTCACTAACTCTGCCTCCATCTGTGCACCAGCAATGACCATGGATAACCTCTCTTGATTTAAGACCTTTGGAATAGCCAGCAGCAGGGACTAGGGAAGAGTTTCTTGAAAAGCACCGAGTACATACTAAGGTTGGAACTTCACACACACGATACTGATATGAAGGTGCTTGGCCAACTTCTCCCCTTTGCTGTACCATCCACCTGTCAGGTAAAGTCTGGGGAGTGTAATGTAAGGCTAAGGTGTTCATGGAGGGAGCAGCAGGGCAGAGGGGGGAAAGGGATGTACCTGGGGCCAGAAAGATCTGGATAAAAACCTTGCCTGAACAAGTTGTGGTATACGATTATGGTGGAATGCTACTGTGCTATAAGAAATGACGAGCTCAATGATCTTAGAAAAGCACGAAAAGACTTACACAAAATAATGAAGAATGAAATGAGCAGAATCGGGAGAACATTGTATATACTAATAGTAATATTGCATCCAGAGAAAACTGATAAATACAAGTATAAAAATTTTATACATAAACATATACGTGTGTGTCTGTGTGAGAGTATATGTGTATGTGTGTGTGTCCAATGATGGCCGTCTCTGAGGGTGGAGAGAGAAGGAAAAAAAAAGGAAAACAAATTTAGACAATAACTTTGTTGTATATTTTTTAAAAAATAGCATGTTATACATAGTGGATTTGCAGCTTCATGAGCAATCATCTTCTTAAATTTATACTATGCTATGGAAATGCTTGTTTTATTCCATAAATTAAATATTAAAAGAAAAAAAACCTTGCCTTTGAGATTTCCTTCCATTGATATTCTCTACAGCTTGTGTGTACATGGTGATTTGTGATCTCCCATTTAGAACGTGAGCTTCTACAGGGCAGGGACCTTGGTTTTACCTTTTTTGTATCCCCAACACTTAGCACAATGCCTGTCATACAGTAAGTGATTAATAAATGCTTGTTGACGTTAACTCTGAAATTTACTAGCTTTTTCCCCATGGGTAAGTTGCCTCATTTCTCTGAGCCCCTGCTTCATCCTCCAGAAAATGTGCGTAATAACACCTATAGACTTAGCTCACAGGCTTGTCCTCATTATTAAATGAGTTAATGGTCCACATGGTGTTCACTGACCTACAACTCCAGGGAAAATGCCAGGAGCAGAGCAGGATTTGTACAAAATGTCCATTGATCTCACCAAGGCCTTTGATACTGTAGGTCATGAGGGCTTGTGGAAAAGTTTGTCAAAATTTGGTTGCCTGGAGAAGCTCGTCCGCATTGTATGTCAGCTTCATGATGGCACAATTGCACAGGTTATACATAATGGGTGATGCTCTTTTGCTTTCCCAGTCACCAGTGGAGTGAGCTCTCTCTGCTTGCTCGGATGCTTTTCAGTTTTCAGCAATGTTGTCAGACATCTTCAATGAGGGCAAAAAGGTCATCAGGGTCAGCTACCTCACTGGTGATTAATTATTCAGGGTAGTGAGAAAAGTAGCTATGAACTCTACAAGGGTCCTGACTTCAGAGTCAAGAAGAACGCCATATCTAAGGGGAACTTCGTGAAATTTCTGTGCATTGGGGGAAGAAAGACTCCCATTATTCAGGGCTGAGTTTTCCACTTTGCCATATGACTTCTCTAGAATTTTGAGCAAAATTTCCCCCGGATTTGTATTTATGGGAGAGATTGCCATTGGTTTTAGGGGATGTATTGCACCTACTTTTCCTACAATTTACCTTAGTAGGAACTAGGACATTATATACACATATACACATATATGTGTGTGTGGTGTGTGTGTGTGTGTGTGTATACATACATATACATATGCATATAATTAGTTACATTATTCAAGCTTTCATAAGCCAG